CTTGCTCTAAGCTTACATTTTAATATCTGGCATAACGTATAAGTTTGAATGCATACGCCACAAAAACATTTGCAAACAGATTTGTAAACGAAATGTTGCCCGGTTAGCATTTGCTAAGAACCTGCGCTCATACTGGTTTAACGAAGGAATAGGGAATTTCACAAAAACCTTTCCACGTCATAACCAACTTCCAAATCTTCTTGTTAGAGTCTAATAGCGAAGACTGAGCGAAAATTGTTAAATCCCCATTGATTCTTAGCCGGCTAACCGAAGAGTTGGGTAGTAAATAACGCATTTTTCGTCTTGTAGACGCTTTAATTAGCAGATTTTAGGGTCTAATTTTTGTTTCTGTTGGCCCTCTGTATACTATATGGTCATACACTGCAACGGGAAGTTAATGCATAGGAACGAAATGGAAAAATAACATATTGCGTGCACGCAATATGTAGCTCAGCGGAAAATTTGGTAAAATTGTCATTAAAAAAAAGGGTGGATAAAGAATGAAACGGATCAGATTTTCAAAGAAAACATGATATTATGTTCATTCAGCCACTTTCCATGATGAGCTTCAACGCAGCTATATAAGGAAATTTTGCTCAAGCAGACACGCTTTAGCAGTTTGGCTGAGCAAAAATGCTTATTTCTTTCACATAAAGGGACGTATATACACGCAATACGGTTTACACCTTCAGCTGATTAGCTGGAGCTATAGGATCTAAAGATATTACAAACTAAAAATCTGGGCCTTTAGCTCAATCCACAGCCAAGAAGATATGATAAGAACTGAGTTGGTTCAACGCCTTGCAGTTGTACTGTTTTGCTTGAGGAGCACGTACATACTTTGTGGTAAGTGCGAAAGCAATAATTGTTTATCGGTTCGTGTCTAGATTAGGTCGACTGTTCATTGCGTCTTCATTAACCGTCGAGCCGAGCTTGCATTGTAAAGGATGCCGAAAACTCTCGCTGCGATAAAAAAATGCTTACCCTGATTTTTGTTTACTTGTATATCCAGAACTTTCAGTATGCGTGTAGGATTGGAATTTCAGGCAATCTCTTCGCTTCCTTTTGGGATTTTCAAATTAATTGTTCATTTAATTGTCATAGGGTGCGTCTGATCCTTTTTCAAATAGCAGACTCTTTGGATAAAATGCAAGTTAGAGGAAAATTTATAATGAACGCAATCTGGCAGTATTGTGGACCATGAAAAAAAATTAGTCGACAGAGAACCGGAAAACTATCGCTGAGATAACTATATTCACCCTGAATATTCAACCGTACCCAATAGTGTTCTGTTACCTTTCGCCAATTATCATCAGCCAACAAATTGGGGTAAACCCTGTCGGCGTTTTTGATGTAGATTATCGTCTAACAACGGTATTCGCAAGAATTACTGAGTTTTAAAATAAGATATAATATCATAGGCTGGTTCTAATTCTTGTCAAGAAACTCGTTCTCTTAGATCTGCGTGCATAAGCTTTTCATTCAGCTTTTAGCTCTAGCTTTCTGTTAACTTACTTGTGTGGAGAATTAAACGCCCTCCAAAATAGTCTGGATTAAAATTTGAAAACGAAAAAGTGCTTCAGTATTAGCAGAGCACGTGCTCATTAAATCCTATCGGGAACACTGACCTTCGACCACAAGTCCGTCGATCAAACCATTGGAGTTCAGTTTTCTAACTCAATCAATCAATCAAATCCTTTATTTTAAAACGATAATTGTTGAAGCTGAAAAGCTTCAACTGGATTCATTTGTTGCTTTTCTCGACAATTTTTCAATCTTAAAAAATCTCTTGGACTCTGTCAATTGCTGATTGAACCGCATATTTGATCGGGAGAAAAACTTTCGGATCGGAAATCTAATTCTTTTAGAGTTACGATAACATTGTCTTCATACATGCATATGTAGAAAGAGAAATTATAAGCCGTGTATAGCTTTCTTGGTTCTTTGAATACTTTTCGAGAATGATGCCACTATTCTTGCTATGGCAATTAAGTTGACCCTGATTTTTTGTTACATACAGAAAGCTTTCTTAATCGGTGTTAAGAAAAGATATAATTTTTAAGAGTCCCATTTTAGTCAACCAAACTAAAAAAAAAATTGGTCTTAAAGGAACAGCGTCACAGTGCGCTGTGACGCGTCTGAAAGTTTAAAACAGCTGGTAACTGTTTCAAATTTCGTCGTCGGAACTGGTTGTGAATTTTTATTGTTCTCTATCTTTGCCATAAGCGATGATTCTTTTTAAAACACGTTATTTTCTTAAATCAGAATCTACAGCGTGTTTTTTCCTTCTCTTTTCTTCAATAATTTGCCGGCTGAGGCTGCGTTTAGAATTTTGTCCTTTCGTTTATTTGTTTTGTCTTTGGTTTAATTGCAACCACCATAAGTTCGCATGAATAGGAGTGCAGTCTTTTGGCCTTGAAATTTACCATTTGATTGGTTTGACGAGAGGAGGATTCTTCAAATAAAATACACAGTGGACAGAAATTGACGATGTTATCTAAAGGACTTTCGAGTACAGAATTTCAGAAAACTCTCGCTGAGTCTGAACTGTGCCCACCTCGATTTCCCGCTGTCTCCAATAATGTTTAAAAATTATTTTTTTATAAGCCGAAAAATTATGGTTAATGTTACAGCAATTTTTAAGGTTCATTGATGCAGATTTGAGAACGATTTGCGATAAGGATCTTAATTATTCATACTGTTATCGTTACACAAGCAATGGGTTCAACTAGTTGTGCATCACCTTATAAAGCATTATGCTCCGCTGTGACTGACGGGTTTTCATCAGCAAATTCAGAATAACATCACCTCAGAGCATGTCCAGTTCACCAGACAAATCCCACTTTGAAATGAAGCCAAGTGTCAGAATCCGTGACCTCTTTAATTTTTGTTATAAGTTTGTTAGTTAGAAGACTACATTCTCGAAAGACATCAACAAGGGATGATAAAGGGAGATTCTAGACCATGGATGTTAAGACTAAGAAACACAGCAGAAAAAACGCCTTACCATAGCAGACTGTTGGAAAAACACTTTATCGAAATGCGCTAATGACAGCTGGTGAAAGCTGGCTAATCACAAGCTGGTCTGAATTTTTTCTCTTGGGGTGACGCGTGAACATTCACCGTTCGAAGTTTATGATAGGGATGTTGTATCAATAATTTGTGCATCTTAGCTGTTACGAAATTTGGATGAAGCAAATAGCAAAAACAAGTTATGCCTTCTTTCTTTCGACAGCACCGATAATAAAGGTGGGGAAAGACAATGTAAAGATATCGACACCAGGCCTGTTTGGCTGTGAGAAAATTTCCTTCCAAAGTCCTTTCTCTGATGGACAGCAAGTTAAGGTATTCGCTTCATTTGGACATACTGTAAAAAGTCCAAAACATCGGTTTGGTGCAGCAGTCTGGGTGGAGTCTGTTTCTACTGGTGGGTTCACAGTCTGCGTTTTGGAGTATGGAGAAGGTTCAAAAGGTTTTGCTGAAGTGAACTGGATTGCTTTGCAATCTACACCTCTTGGATCTCAGCTAGGAACTGTGGCGTTGGATCCATGGACTACCGGAACCGAGTGTATTACTATCAACTTTGAAAAGGTTCGATTCAAGCAGGTTCTTATTTCCTTTTGATACAAACGTCTGACAAAGGGAAAAACATAATTTCCGATAGAAATTAAGCCAAAAAACGTGAAGAGTTATTGCTCTTGGTTCCGATGCTAAGACTGACATGGCGGCATTATTAGTATTACCTGTCCTTGAGAGGGTTTTTATCCATCAATTTTTGCTTCAAACTTACTTCGTAAAAATATTCAATTTTTTTCCTCTTTTGTTTTTTTTTTCTTTTAGCGCTTTAAGACTACACCAAATGTTTTAGTTTCCGCCAGCCATGAAATTCTGAAGAGACCACAAGATGCTATGGCTATTTGGGTAAAAGACTTGAATA